CTTTGACAAAAGATGATTATTGGGGGAAAAAAAACCAAACCAGCCCACTCTGCATGAGGGGAATTTGTGGTCCTCCCATAGCGGTTCCGGTGCTGACCAGCTGCAGCTGTACGTGGGCGCTGCTGGATCCCAAAATGATGTCCTTAAATCAGAGCAAATGCTCCCCGTGCAGGTGGGGTCACAGCTACCACCCTTTCCACTTCACAAGCTGCAAGGGTCGTTTCTAAAAATCCCTTGTATCCACATAACATTTGGTTTGGAAATCCTCTCGCCCTCTGCGTACGTCTCTCTTGTAACGAGATGTCAGCCTGCGCAGGCTTCTCTCCAGGAGCTTCAAACCCCCGTGTTTCACATGTTGGCTCCTCCTGCCTACCTGGGACCTAAGCAAACTGCTAATTGTTGTGCAGATGTCATCTTCCAGGCAGGCATGAGGTTGTAGGCTTTAAAGAGGCTGTACTGTCATTTGCTACCAGCCTTCTCGGTACACGTGAGCTCTATTTTTATGGGAGTGCGCGTTTTCTTTCAGCCGCTGCTTTGTTGAATTTCTTTTTCTTCTTTTTTTCTTTTTATTTCCAGGCTTGCAGGTAAAGTTTTAGGGATACATCTATTTTTCATTATCCCAGTTTTGCTGCTTGTTTTATAACTAATAAAAAACCCAACCCCCCTATTTCCTATGTAAAAAGAGCAGTTTGTTCTGAGATGAGGGGGAACTGTATGTCATGGTCGAGTTGAGGTCCTGACTATGGCATTGGCCAGAAGGCACGTAGATCTTCTGGGAGCAGATGGGCTTTGAGCCCGTGAATTCTGCTCTGGGTTTTCCAGCTCAGGATCCTGGGTGTTGGTTGTACTTGGCAATGCCCTGAGAGAGAGGCTTTGGCCACAGGGTGTCTTTGCCTGTCTTCTGAAAATAGAGGGCTTTTCTTCTACTCCGGTTGTAGCTTGATAAGGGTTTGTGGGTCTTTGAGGTGGTTCTTTGACCCTTTAGAAAAGAGGAGATGTGGAAGGAGGATATCAAGCACCAGGTCAGAAATGCAAGGTGATGCTTTCAGGCAGAGTGTGAATTAAGCAGGGGTACTCATTGCTAAGGGATGCTGTGGGGTGTCAGAAGTCCAGATCTACTCCAAAAACAATTAATGGGAAAAAGAAAAATCCAGTTGATCTGGATTTGAGCTCAAAGGTAGAGGCTGCTGTTCAGGAAGACCCTGGGTGAGGAGTTTTTGGAAGATGCAGAAGTGCATCAGATGTATTACTGTTTGTGCTCCCTGCTCTGCTGCTTTTTCCTAGATGTCCACCACTGACCAGTGTGATGTGGTGTTTTGCCTTTTTTTTTTCTTTTTTTTTTTTTTTTTGCTAAAGCAGGAAGAGGAAGAAGTAACACAATGGAGTGGGGAGACAAGGTAGCAATAAAGGGGTGGAAGGGGAGGACTCCACTACCTCTGTGTCCCCGAAGTCTTTTGGGGACAGAGGTGGCAGGAGTTGGCATTAGGTGTGCCTGTGAGTGTTATTTTCTGCTTTGTGGAATAGAAGATGGTTGCTTCAAGGAAGGAAAAAATCTGTGACATGCTATCCTGATGGACAACAAAGGCAGAAAGATATTTAGGACTGTGTGTATGGGAGGAAATTCTTTAAAACCTGGATAGGAGTAGGAGCAGACTTGATGGAGGGATGAGTAATGAAGGAGTGTTTGAACGGAACTAATCAGTCCCAACTTCTTTCAAAAGACCTCATTTAGTTTAATTTAGCAGTGTGTAAATTTAGAGCCAATCAAAGGAAATACTTCTCCAGCCTGTGTGCTGGCAGGCTGCTCCGTTCCCTACCCCAGCGTGAGAAGCAGCGAGCTGAACGCTGTAGGTGGATTTAAAGCCTTGCTTCGCGAGGCAGTGGGGGCTCGCACGTGCGTGAGCGTGGTTACACACGTAGCGATGAGGATACGAGCTCCGTACCAGGGTGACTGCCAGCCACAAGAGCAAGACCCTTCTTATTCCCCCCTCTTTAGTTCAGTAGGTGGTCTGCCGTCGGTCAGGGCGGCTGTATGCCACGGGACTGCTTTATGGGCTGCTGCAAGCACAGGCAGAGCCGGCTCATGGTCTGGAGGAGCTGGGTCTGAGCAGCAGGGAAAGCCCTTCGCTGTAGGAACCGCCACGTAAACCTTGTTCACCTCTGCAAAATGTTGTCTTCCTCAAGCAAAGCCTAAGCATGGTCTTAGATAAACTCCTGATCCTTTGATGGCTGCTTTTGTTTAAATTGTCTTAATGCAGCTACTTCTGTGCTTAAAATGAGGCACAGGCATAAAAAGCCTTCACAGGATTGCACTGATTTTTGGTTTTCCCTGTTGTTGTCATCCACAGCACTAACACAATGATTTTAAACAAGACTTACAGGTCTCTTCATGTTTTCCGGGAGAGATATAAGCCCTTGCGGGGTCAGTATAAGCTACCTTGTCCTTACCTGCTGTAAACTCCATTTGCAGTAAAATCGACACCCCTTGCTGTCAGCTGCCCCCGATGAGACCTGTGCGCTAACACCTAGAGGTGTTCTGTGTCCTGCGGTGTCGCACCCCTGAACCCATGCTGCGTTGCGAAATGTCACGTAAAGGATGCTGAAACCTGTGAAAATGTGGACTAAAATGCTGTTGGTTTTGTTTTCCTTTGCATTTCAGGCTGGTGGCAATGTCTCACTGGGCCGGTCTCCTCTCCACTGCTGCCAAGGTCAACCTGCTGGTCTTGGTGGTTTCTGCGGTGTTTTCCCAGTCAAGCCTAAGCGACAGAGTTCCTGTAAGTGTTGGCCACTCCGGCTGAGAGCCGCGCTCGCAAAGGGCTGTCCAGCCACTGGAGTCTCCAGTGGGGTGACAGCCCCTGTAGGGCTGAGCAGGGTGTTGCAGCAGTTGGTGAATCACCTCTCCTCGACAGTGGGTCTTCAATAACAACATTTCAGAGGGGCTTCTTTCTTAAGACGGCTTGCCTCACCCCAGAAAATCCAGAATATGCTCAATCCAGAGGGTTTACAACAGGAAGAGTGCGACTCGGGCAGCTCTCTTGTTTGCTAGATATCACTTTTTCTATTTGGAGTTGCCACACATTCCCCCCATGGCAAGAGGCAAAGCTAATTATGCGGTCTAGTGACAAGAAATGGGGAAGAGGTGGCCTTGATTAGGTTCTTAGCTGTGCCTCTGTTGAGTCACTACAAGTGAGTCAGGCTTAGAAGAGCATCCTCTCAGGCTTTTGCGTCCCACGTGCGTGGATTTTGCTACTTGCAGGGTTATTTTGAAGGTTTGGATTCTGCTGCTGAGCCCCAGGTGCCAGGCCCTGCTAGATTAACAGATCCGGAAAGCTTCCTTGAGGAAGTTCAAGCAGTAGCGAGTGGTGGGTTTTTAGTGTAATCAATGCTGTGGCTTAAAAGAGGGGGGCTCCCAGCAACACTGGCACGAGGGGATCACTGGACCCCATGTCCCTGGACACTCGCTCCTGCCTTTGCGTCACGACTTGCTGGTCTGTTGGTTGCGTGATGCAGCTGTTTGGGGGCTGTGCTGTTACCCGGTGCAGATCCAAGGGACAGATTACAGTCTAAGCATTGTAAGACAGTGCCTTGGGCCCACCCAGAGTCACGTAACGATGAGATAATTTGTCTTTATTTCAGGGAGGGAGAGGAGGAGGCTGGAGATAAGAGCATAGTCAGCTGGAGAACGAGCACTGGGACAGCCACCCGGTGTCCGAATTGGCAGGCAGCCTGACACCGAGGTTCAGACAGGATTCATGCAATGGGCGGTTAGCTCTCCCATCACCTTTTCCTGCACTCCTCCTACAGCAGCTCCATGGTGGCCACGTCCCTTCTTTATTGCAAACAGACTGCAGATTGTCTCACACCCTCCCCGCTGAGGCTTTCCAGCTTAGAGCAGTTTATTTCAGACTCATAAAGCAAGGAGGCTTTTTGCCTGTAAGGAAATTTCCATTGTTCTTTAGAAAACATCTCTCTTTCTACTATTTTAATTATGAAAACAAACCAAAAAGGATCCTACCTAATTTCTACGTGAATGAAGAATGCCAGAAATGTTAATGAAAATGGGGTATTGCAAAACAATTGCGGGCCAAGCAGTGGCAGTAACATTTAAATGAACCGAGTCACATCCTTTTACCCTTACCGAACATTCAGACCACGACACTTCTGTTGAGCAGAGCCAGTAAACATCAGCCATCTCCATTATGTGTTTCAACAGATACAATGCTCAGAGGCCTGTTGGTAAATTTACAATGGCCTGTATCGTTAAGTCCCTCTTGGATAATAATATAGCAGCGTAAATAAGCTTAGTAATAACTGCTCTGACTCATTTATTTTAGTCCTGTTGAGTCTTGGCTCAGAAAATGCTAACATTGATTTTCATCTGCAGAACCTGGCTTTTTATGTTTATGATTGTTACTGAGCTTTAACCATTTGTCATAATTTTAAAAATTTCAAGCTTCTGACGCACTAAGTGAAAGCAGGAGTTAAGCTCTGTTTTTCCATGCATTTCTGAAATTTCAGTCCCTTTTGACAGATAAAATAGAAACATTCTATAGGTTTGTCAACCATCTTCATGTGTTACTGCTGTTGTTGGTAATTGTACGTGTTTTGCTCAGGCTGACGTTTCTCTCGCTCAGAAACTCTCTCCTCGGCTGGATAATGGATATTTATATGCAAAGCACCCAGATTCTGCCAGAAAATATGCACGCGTTTTTTTCCAAGAAGTGGAAGAGGTGAAGACAGAACATGGCCTAAAATTTCCAGTTAACCTCTTAATTGTCGTCTTTTTTTCCCCCCCCGTGAAAACGTTCTAAGGATGAATATCAAAACACTTCATGAACTGAGCTGTAATTCTTATTCTAATTGTCAACAATTAGGAATACTCTTTCCTTAGGAATACTCTGTCCCTATAGGCTGGTTATTTGAAATTATTCAGCAGTGACGTTCTTGGCGATACCAGAAACTGATAATACTTCTTTGCCACAGAAACTGAGCTGTCTGGACGGTTAGCCTGGACCAGCTTACCTGTTTCCTGTGAAAACCAGAATGGCAAAGACCTGCTTCCCAAGCAGTTAATAGCCTGGTGTGAGATAGTACAAGGTCGTTACTTACTATGCCCTCTCAATAATTTTATCCGTTGCAGTTTTACATGCCTCCCACCAGCTCCCTAGGGAGACATTCCAGTGAACAGCGAGGTTTCCCTCGCAGCAAGGATTTTTTTTTTTTCCTGCTTTTCATCCTCGTTTTTTTCCTTTGTGTAATGTCATACCGCTCATGCTCGCTGATCTACCACACCTCTGCCATTCGCGTGCTGCGCTTGCGATGTAGGTGGTGATTAAATCGCTGCCTCATTGTTTTAAAAGACTTGAGGACACCGGGAACGGGTAAAGAAAAGGATGCTCGTGTTTTTATCATGTGGGCAATTCGATGTGTTTTCCCCATGTCCTATTTTGGAAATAGCTGAACTATTTTAGCTGAAATCTTCTCCAAGCCTGAAATAAGTGCATTTAAGAGAAGAAAAAAAAACAACCAACAAACCAACAACCAATGCTTGAGGCATTCCATTCGTGTGGAAAATTTCAGCTGAAAAAGTTTAAAGTTTGACATATTTTTAAGCAAGGGAAAACAGGGTCTTACAATGTTACACAATCCTAATAATAGTGAGGGCTCCTGGCTCTGAGCGTAATATAGGTGAGGCTCTGTGAAAGCTTGTTTTAAACCTGGAGCCTGCACTGGAATAGGAAATAAGCTGCATTGCTTTGTTCAGCACAAATGTCATGGTAGTTATGCATGTTTAACCTTTAATATACTTTAAATCTAAATTTAACCATGTGGAAAGAATCTCGGATGTCAAAAAAAAAAATCTGCTGGCGAGGGGAAAAATTTTGTATTCTCAGCCGGCACTAAATTACCCAGATGCAATTGCTAATGAGCTGAATCTCTTCTATCCGAAAGGAGTTCGCCCTTACAAAAATAGAAGAGAGCGACATAAAAGATGACAGCGGGAAAGAGCCGATAACAGAAGATGATGCTGATCCTGAAGACCTGGAAGTGTTTTACCCCACGCATCAGTGGCAAACCGTCCGTCCAGGTAACATGCTGATGACTAATTATAGCATCCCTCTGAAAGCCCACCTGACAGCACCGACAGAAGCCTTGTAGGAACTCCAAATACCTGTTTGTTCCCGTGACAATGTGGTTTTTTGCTGGTGTTCAGACAGAGGTACAGACCCAGTGACCCAGTACAGGAACAGGAGACCGTCGCCAAACCAGCTGGCAATGGGAACGGTTGCTAAAGTGCTTTGAGTTCACTGGAGCAGGTCGAGCGGGCTGCCAGTCATGCTGCGGGTGGTGATGTGCCTCTGTCACTAGCTCAGAAGCCCTTTCTCTCTTTGTACGCTTGACAAGGGACAGATTTTATAACATTTATTGGCACGCGGCATCCCAGGTCTGCTGTGCTCCAGTGTGGGCTGGTGAAATGCTGCTCAGTGGCAACCTGATTAAGGATTGTCAATGTAACACTACACAGCTTTTTAACAATGTTCCTTTGAAATGCAACTTTTATCCCTGTCCCTACATCCCACAAAAACATCTCTTCCCTTTTTTTTGGGTTGGTATCTTTCATTAGATGTGTATGGGACACGTATGGTGAGAAAACACCAGCTGAGCAGGCTGGCTCTGCTGCAAAAACCTGTGTGCTGGGAAAGGTTCTGGAGAGGATAAGCCCATTTAAACACACACAGATGCATGTGTGCACACATATTTCAGCAATTAGGATGATCAGTAAGCCTGCCTCTGGGGTCTTGGACGAGGTATTTAATCCACTTGTGCTTTGGTGTCCTCATGTATATGCAGGTGTAATACCTTCCCACCTCAGAAGGGTGAACTAAGTAGTAATTAATTTTTATAAAGTGCTCTGAATTTAAAAGAGCTTTATCCTCTGCTCAGTATTATCATTAAATGAATAAATATGGGATCCATTTGTCTTGAAATTTCTGCCAGATATAGCAGAATGACTTTTCCAAATGTAAATCTTTGTATAACATAAAAGTCTAGCAAAAGCCCCTAAATTTCAGAAAGCTGCAGTATATACTTATATTCCATTTTTGTACCATTATGTATGGAAGGCGTGTGGTGTCCCTGCTTAGTATTCAGACTGGCAGATCCCCACCACCCTTGTTGATGCAGAATATGTATATACTTGCAGTCATTATAAGCGTCGTTGCTGGTTTTATTCAGAATCACCTTCTCCATTGCTCGAGTGTCTTGTTCTGCTTTATTTTTGTAGCGATTCCACGTTGGGCGTGTACAGGGAAGGGCTCGTGGAAGCGGGGAGCTTTTCAGCATTCACAGCGTGCTGTAGGAGAAGAATTTCAGTTACTCCTATGAAAGGCTTAAATGGTGGCCTGCCTCATTGTCTGGTCGCTACAGATCCCCATTCCCGGTGTGCATGCAGATTTGGGTGGCAACATGTCAGAAAGATGAGTCTTCCTTACTGTCCCCCTGACAGCCTGAGGTTTTGTCTCCTGTGGGTTTCTCTGAAGCGAAATCCTGTGCGTGGACTGTGACTCGCACTTTTAGCGTGTGTATTACCCGAAGCAAGGCTGGGGAACCCGCTGCCTCCCCGAGCCCATCCCTGTGGCCTCTGACCTGGAGAGTTTTCCCTTGCTAGCACAGGTCCGTGCTGGGGAGGCTGTTGACCCGCAGGACGAGGGAAGCAGCCGGCGTGGCTGTGTGAGGGATGTGCCTTTCTGTCCTTTAACAGAGGCGCAGGCATTGGCAGCGTGTCTAATCCGGTGGTGCTGCATCTTCCCATGTCTTCTGATGTGATTTCACTCGCTCATAGCCGAGCAGAGTCCTGGCTGGCGTGTGTCCAGCAGAGGCCAAAGTGAACTGCAGCGCAGTGCTCTGAAGTTTGCTTTCTGCCGCCTACCTCTCGGGGATGCCGCCATGCCGTCTTATGTAGTATGCCTGCAGCAAACGGGGCCAGTCTCTCCCGGGAAGCAAATGTTTGGATTTGAAATCCGGATCTTCTATTTTGAATAGTGGAAGGGAGCTCAGAGTTGCGTTTCCCCCCCGTCACACTCCTGTTTCATGTTGTTTCTCTGCTGACCTCAACACAGGATTTTTATGCTTCTGTCCGGTCCCGTGGTTGCTCATCTTTTATACATGTATTTCCAATTTTATTCTGCTGTTTTTCTAGTTTCCTGTTGCTAATTGCATCAAACCGTGTTTCTGCCAAGACTGCAGCAGTGTCATCAACCTGTACCCTGTCAAATCCCTCCACCAAATCCAATTGTTATTGTATATGTAACGCTGCTTTGTGTGGCTGTTCTCTCGCTGTCTACAATGTGAGCTGGATTTTGATCAAGTGCTTCCTTGCACTTTGAGCACGCTTCAAGCTGCTGGAGGTAGCTGGATGCAAACAGAGAGAGACGGTTACCCTAAGAGCTCTGCTGCCTGTAATCTGGAAGCAAGGAGATCAGTTGTCTCCTCTGCCAGGTTGATGAAACTTCACAAAGTCCTTTAACACTTTGTTAGGCATTCGCTACTTTCTCATTCAGCACTAAATAATGCACCAGGCACGGCTCGGTTAGAAAGTATATACGTTACTTGGAAAGTCCTCTCAGCACTCCATGATTTTACTTTTTTTTGTATCATTTGAGGAAATGATGAAGACATGTGCAGGGCTTTTTGCTCTGTTCTTGGTTGGCATCCATAGGAACTTCCAGGCTACTTGGGTTTTAACAAGTGGGATTGCACGAAATGGCTGTTTGTGCCCATGGTTAGGTATCTGTTCCTCCACAGATGCAGAAATTTTTTTGAAGTTGTGCTTCCTCTGATGTTTTTTTTTCCTTTTTTGAATGCACTTTTACCAGGTGATAGTACCCTTGTGAGTTGGAAGTTCTCTGGAGAAAGATAGCAGAGGCAACTTGCTTTTGTTACTGCTTACATTAAGCTCTTCCAAGCGCATGGAGGTGAGTCTGTCAGCACACAGAAACACCCCACCGCTTTTCAAGGTGATCTTTGCCTCTTGGTTATGGCAACCAAATACTGATTCCTGAGTCTTCGGGGTGACAGAGATGAATAGAAGGATTGGATGGCATTGATGGTCTTCTCTGTCAAATTGACAGTTTTCTTCAGGGTTCTGCATATAAAAGCGTTTTTTCCACATCTGTAGGTGACCTCAAATCTGCCACGCAACATCCTAGAGCACATGAATGCTTCATTGCCCAGGAATTACCTCCTTTTGTTATTTGGGCACCTTGTTTCCCTCTGTTTGTTTAGCATTCATGATGATGATCGAAAGTCGGATTGCTCTGAGCATTTAATCACATCACTGACCAGCACATTTTCCACTCAACATTAGGGTCAGAAGTGGCTCCTCTGAGAAGATGTCGCTGTGAAGATTAAGAAAAAGGATCTGAGAGGCAAGGGTTTAACTGGGAAAGAAAAAGAGGGCTAATCACCTCCTCAGCAGTGACCAGCACTGCGGGGAGCCCAGGCTGTGCAGTGCCTCTGCAGACAGGCTCTGTCCACCCCCGTGGCGGCAGCACTTTCCTGCTCCCTGACGCAGCAGAAATTCCCTGGCAGGTTTCTCAGCTGACAGGTTGAAGCTGGGAATTAACGTGTCCAGTTTCCAAATCTGGATGGACCAAGTGAGAACCTCATCTCCCTGAAATATCAAAATATTTACGATTTGCTCTGCATGCTTTCCGTTTGAGAGGAACCAACAGTGGGGCACAGAAAGGCTTCCTTGGTGCAGAGCAGCTCCCGGCAGGCTGGAGAAATGGAGCAAAATCTTGCATTGGTGACTGAAATGTTGCAGCATTGGATCTCTCTCAGATTTGGATAGCATCTAGCTGGGCAGAGCGTGCATTACAGGAGCCTGACTGGCCTGTACCTTTAGCTGTGGTTAAGCGTCTGGCTTGCAGAGCGCTGTGCTGATACCTGCCGTTACTCTATAGCATTTGTGCTGTTCAGAGTCATTTTCATAAGTGCCTAATTATATTGCAGTTAAAAAATAAGAAGCCATGACTGCTGCTGTTGATCAAACTGCCAGAGCGAAGTTGATGTGAGCATGCTGTTGTTGCTGCCTCTGCAAAGATGAAACCATCTTATGTTCAGCGGGGAGCTGATGATACATTGCTTAGCATTTCAATAGCCAGGGCTGGAGCTTCCAAGGGTCCTCGGGCTGCTTTCTCTGTCGGTAGCTATCTTTGCTGTTCATCCTTGTCTCAGGTCTTCCTCTGTCTCGTTTGCTGCACAAACAAGGTTTTACAGATATGAAACACAGTTCTTAAAGAAAGCATTCACATTGGGGAGGTAATTTCAGAAGCTCCTTTGAAGGACCTGCTGTGGTTTTGGAAAGAACAGGCCTCAGGATGGGGATTAACTCGGTCTAGTTTCGTTGCCAGTCTTTGTCTTTCAGGAGACTTGAGCGGCTGAACGAGGCAGCGCTGCTCTAAGCCCAGAAGAGGGTTTTAAAGCTGGGAGGAGAAGGTAGTGGCAGGAGGGATCCCTTAGGTCAGGAGTCCTGTGCCAGGGCCTGTCCCACAGCCCGTGGGGGTGATGTGGTGGCCGGCGAGGATTTCCTTACACCTTGTCGGTGGCTATCATTCTCCTGCTGTTCACCAGCATGTCCTGAGCCATGCTGACTCCTGCTAATTGCTGAATTAATGATCAGTCCAAACCATTGACTTCTGAGTGACCTAGACCTAACTCAAATGGTTGTGTGCAGGTCTCTGAAATATTTATGTCAGCACAGGCAACAGAGGGCTGTGAAATACGGCATTAAACCACCAGGGTATGCTCATTTTTGCAAGGCTTGACGTGTGTAATCCAGGAAATAGGAGCCTCATCAGATCGGCACGGATTTGCATGAAGAGGGAAGGCAAATGGGATTTTACAAACCTCATTTATACGAGATGAAATGCTTCTTTTCCGGGGTTTTTTATAAAATGACTTGTTACTGATGTGTAGAGGGGAAAAGTCTCAACTGTAGAATTATTATAATCTTCTCTGGCCAGCAACAGGGAGAGCTGCAGGGTGATTACAGCAGGTAGGAAAGCCCAGGCTGTCTCGAGAGCA